GAAGCCAAATCAAAACAGATCTGGCTGTCCACTTTTATCTCCTGGTTTGGAGCGCTCACACCTTCCTGAGGTCATGGATTCCCTTGTCGTCCTGCTCGAACAGTTAGGAAGATTTTTCAACCAAAAATCTGGCTTCCTGGAACCTGAGCCCATTGGGATGTATCCTGCGCTCTGGGCGGATCGAGAACAGATCCTGACCCCTCCTCTGAATGACAGCCTTTCAAATTTTAGAAAAGACCTCTCCTATATCCCCTCCGTCTTCTTTTCTGCTTGTGAAGATACCAACAGACTTAAAAAACGCTTCGGGGATCCCCCGGGGTCCCCCTTTCTGCAGCCCTCCCCCTCTGTTTCTGTTTGCCCGCTCGTTTGCTAAAGGGGCCACAGAGGGCCCAACTCAGTGCCGGTTTTGGAAAGGGAGGGCACGGGGGACGACGCCTCCCGCGGGGACCTCTCACCATTTCTGCATCTCGCAGTTTGGGTTGCAGCTGTGGTTGATGAAGCGGGCCTCGTTGCCCATCCGGTAGCTGTCGATCACCATCCCGCTGTCGAGGTTGAGGCAGTAGTGGTCGCTGTGGTTGTGGTACTGCTCAATCATGCGGTTCCTGGCGAAGCAGGGAGGGGAGAGGAAAGGCCTGGGAGAAGGTCCGTGGCCGGCCGGCTGACGCCTCCCGCCCCTTTCCGCTCTCCCGCATGAGGCCATCTTGGGGCGACCTGGTCCAACCCCCCAACCCCTGGGGGCCCCCCCTTCACAGGGCCTTACCTGAACTCCTGCTCGCTGACCACTTCTCCCAGGTACTCAATGATGAACTGCCCGGCCTTCAAGGGCTCCTTCGTACGGATCCCCCAGCCCTTCTCCTCGGCCCGGAAGCGCTCCAGGCACTGCACCCACTCGTGCCTCTGGATCCGCTGGTTGCAGCACTGCTCCCCGCAGGGGCAGGTGTTGGGGGAGCACTCGGCAAAGATCATCCTAGAAGCAGAGGGACGGGGAGCGGCTGAAAGCCAGCAGAGCCTGGGGATACGGCCGGCCGGCGGCCGCCAACCTCTCTGCTGGGCCAGCCTGGGATGTGCTTCCAGGCAAGCCCTCTCCAGGCTGCCCTTCTGTAGTGGCCTGTTCCATCTGGGCATCCTTCGAGTGGAGCAAACTCCCCCCCCTTAAGCTGCTCCGCCCAGCTCACGAAACAGGGAGATGTTAACGGTTCTCCGTTATACCTGTTCAGGCAGTCATCCAGGCAGCCCTTTTTGCTGACGTCCTCCGGTTTCTTACAGTTGCAGGTGGTGGCCTCGTAACCGGAAAGGGGCTTTACGTCCACGTAAACGTCTGGGAGTGGAAAAAAGGGGGGTGGGTAGGGATTCATGACCAGGTTCTGGAATCTGAGACACCCCACCCCACCCCAAATTTACTCCGAGGATGAGCCTGAAGCAGGACCACAATATTTGCAGGGGATCGATCCCAACCTCCCCCCCCCGCAGATACTGGAAACAGTGGATATGAGAAACACGTACTTCTAGCTCCCCTGGTGTCCATGAATGGTTGAAAGAGGGAGCATTTCCCTTAAGCCACCCTATTCTCTGGTTCCATCTAGTGGCCAGTCCTGGTAATACACCTTGGGAATGTGTATTTCTGGGGCTTATTAATTTTACATTTTTTCAGGCCGTGGATAACTGAAACCGCAAGTACTGATCTTGCGGATACGGCGGTCCTCCTGTAAAGTCTCTCCTTCATCCCCTCAACCACCAGAAAAGGTAGCAGGAGCTACCTGGAGAGAGGAGGGGGGTCAAAGAGGGCACGGTAATGGAAAGACCGATGGCTGGCAAACACCCCCCCCAATCCCTCCGATCACAGAACCCAGAACACCCAAGCGATATAAATGTAAGATTACTTACTAGAACGGATTTTTTTATAAAGCGGGACATCTGGCTTTTTATACAACTGGAAAGGAAAAAAAAAAGAGGAGGAAAGGTCCTTTAATATATTACAACATGACAGCTTTGGTAAGGAAGGAAAGAAAAGGAAAAAAAATCATTTTGTCCCCTCCTCATTGCCATGTGAGAGGATTCAATTTCTCCAGAAAAGGGACCTAAGATTTCCTCTCTGGGAAAAAAAAAAAACAGAAGAAATTGGACTTGCACGTGGACTTGTGTTTTGAAAACGAGCAAGTTAACGGAGCAAACAAACTTTGGACTGGCCTGGATCCAAAGAACAGTGAGACGAAAGACAAGATGCCCTAGTTTTCTTTCGTGAAGGCGCCTACGAACAACCAGGGAAAGAGTTTCCTCCGAGTAGAGGGAAAGACACTACGGTATGGAAAAGGCGAAGGAGGAGGAGCATCCAGTCTGGCGCAGGGGGGAGAACGGAGCAGGCGGCTAGAGGTCGAAACCCTCTCAACTGGGAAGAGGGGGGTCCCTTTTCTCTTGGGTCAGGAGCCCCCTGTGAATAAATCCAGGAGTGTGACTAGCTTGGGTATTGAAAGGATGCTCCCTTGGTCCACATTAAAAAGCTGCCTTGAGTGCAGTTCCAGCTAATGCCTCCTCTATCATCCTATTGCCTTCTCCAATGGGCTGTGACTCTCTGGGACCCTCAATTCCCAGTCTGGCTATCCAAAAACCTCTGCAGTCGGATGCTGGCCATGCTGGTTGAGCGACTAGGGGTGAGGTGCAGGCTGCTTTAGAAATGTCAAGAGACCGAATGTGGGCAGGGGTTTCCAACTTTGGTTGATTCCCCGAGGTTCTCGGACTGCAACTCCCAGAAATCTTGGCCAGCACAGCTTGTGGTGAAAAGGCTTCTGGGAGTTTTAGTCCTCCCGAGAACCTCGGGATAGCCCAAGGGTTGGGAACCACGGCTCGACATTCTGACGCGGAGGGTCTCCAGAGCATGCAAGGATAGCGAAAGGAGAATGCAGTGGATGGGAATCCAAGTTACAGAGGGTGGAAAGCAGCAGGCCTTGCAGAGGGTGTGGAGGGAATAAAGCAAACATGGCAATTTCTTTGAAATATGTACTTCATACGGGAGAGAGGTTGCTTCCTCTTGCAGAGCGAGCCCCGAATTTAATACCCTGCTCAGCAGATGCCAATCCTCGG